ACAATATGGTTGCTTGGTGATCTTTGAGATTCTTGGATCTGTGGTTTGGTGTCTCTCACTCATTTTGGAAAATTCTAGGCCATAATTTCTTTAAAGATTTCTTCTGCCCAGCTATCTCACTCTCTTCTCCTGGCATTTGCTACATGAATGCTAGACTGTTTGACATTGACCCACCACTGCAGATGTGCATTTCTTTCTTTTCTCTTCCCTTTTACTCTTTTTCTCTTTGTGTTTCAGTTTGGCTGTTCCTGGTCACCTTACTTCAGCTTCCCTGATTCTTTCCTCACTATGTCGAGTCTATTAATGAGCCCACTGAAGACGGTCTTCATCTTCATTACTGTATTTTCCATTTCTAGCATTTTCCTTAGATTCTTATAGTTTCCATCTCTCCAGTGAACTCATCTGGTCTTGCATATTGTGTACCTTATGCATTAGAGACTTTACCCTATACATCAGATTTAAAAAAATGCAAGTCAGATAATTCCAACACCTGTGTCACATCTCATCTCTTATTGTTACTGTCTCTTGGAAGCGTGTTATCTCGCCTATTCATTTGCCTCCTCGTTTTTTCTTGAAAGCTGGACATCCTGGTAGAACTGTAGAAACTTAGACAAATTGCTTTTAATCTCTAGAAATGGACCCACTTTTCCTCCTGGCAGGCCCTTAGCGTGGGGGTGGGAGTTAACCTGGGTAGAAGTTGGGCTGGGCTTGAGGTTCCTTGTTGCTATGGTTACCCTCAGTGCACCGAACCCTTCAAGTTCCTGTGGGAACACCTTGTGTTTCAGGGTGTGGTTTGCCCGAGAAATACTTGCCTGACTCTCAGCTTTAGACCTTCCCTTTGCACTGGGCCTCACAGAGGGTCCCTTTGCCTGTTATTCTTCCTCTCCCTGCTGTTCTTGTTACCCTGCCGTTGTTCCTGTTACAGTTCGGAGGTGTGGGGTGGCGGAGGGAGACATTCTCTGTTGTTCTGACTAAGTCCCAGTGGCTGCCTCCCGTCCTTGGTTCTCCGAGGTCTGGCTGCCTTGGTTCCCCTGTGCCTGAGCAGCAGATCGAATAACGACCAACATTTTTAAGTAGTAATGAGTGTCTAGGATATTTCTCAATGTCGTCAACAACTTTGTTGCGGTGTGAAAATATTTGTGATCTGTAGTTGGTGGCGTTGGTCTCAGGAACTGTTGCTACCATTGTGTGTTGTTGCCCTACGTTCATAATTGAAGGGAACGCTACTAAATGTGAGTTCGAAGTTAGTGAAATGGAGATTTAATTTTTTCCACATTGAATTCGTGAATGTGTGCTTTCTCTCCGTGGATCCTCTGGACTCCTAGCATGCTTTGAGAGAGAACTTGCGGGATGAGGGATGGACAGCAGTAACCACTTGACCTGTGACCAGAAGCAGATTGTAGAGCTTCTCTCGTGAGCTAACCTTGGCCGTCGCACACTGCATGCTTCCCTGTGCTGGCTCGGGGGAACCAAGGGGCAGGAAGGCTATGTCCTGAGGACAGCCAGGCCGGTGCTGGGACACATATACACTACCAAACGTAAAATAGATAGCTAGTGAGAAGCAGCCGCATAGCACGGGGAGATCAGCTCGGTGCTCTGTGACCACCTGGAGGGGGGGGATAGGGAGGGTGGGAGGGAGACGCAAGAGGGAGGAGATATGGGGACATATGTATATGTATAGCTGATTCACTTTGTTATACAGCAGAAACTAACACACCATTGTAAAGCAATTATACTCCAATAAAGATGTAAAAAAAAAAAAAAAAAATCAAAATCTCCACCCAGCCCAGAAAACCTCCACAAAGGGAGACGACAAAGAAATGCGTTTAATTATCGAAAAAGCATTAAACCAGGCCATCCAATAAGAGACTGCAAAGACATTAAGGGATTTCACACGTTCATGTAGGCAGGCTGACATGTGTTCTCGGGTTAAACGACAACCAGTCCTCAGTAAGAGGACCTGACAGCACCATTTGTCACACACGGTTCACCTGGTAATGGGGTGGCCATCTGTGTTAGCTTATTGCCTTTATCCAAAGGAAAAACGAAACTTCTAGTTCCTTTGTGACAAGAGCTAGTCTTGCACCGTGGAGCGAGGCAGGACACCTGCCAAAGTTAGGCGCCTGCTCTCCCAGGGACGCTGGGAGACGGGGGCGCCATCTTTCTGTTTACATTTCTGAGAGGTGGCTGCCAGGTGCTAGGAATATTTCTGAGTTGTACAGGTGCCCAGAGGCTTATTTAGCTTTTAGAAAGATTTACTTTTTAAGATTTACTCTCAAAGGGGCAGAGAAAGAATGTGTAGTAAGTGTCCAATAGTAAACGTGCTAAGGAAAGGGGGGAGGGGCAGGCAACCTCTTTCCCTTGTTGCACCAGGGAAGATGGAATTTTGTCTTGGTTGGTACTGACCGTCACACCAGAAAGGAGCAGTTGAGTCACAGCTCTGTACTTCCTTCCACAGAACGGAAGGGACGAAGGGTGGAGAGAGAGGCCAGAGGTTTACTGAGGCAGCGTTCCCATGGGTACCAGAGGAGGCGATGTGGATGCTCCATCATCTTTGATGCTCCTCGTAGGTGCATGTCATTTTGCTCAGGTGTGATGTTAATGTTCTGCTTTGGGTTAAGGGAAAACTGAATTTAGTCCTCCTAAGCACAAAGGAACATGTGCTTTAAAATCCAGGAAATTGACTTTAAGTCTCCGGAGTGGTTAATCCCTCTCCCAGGCTAACTAAACCTAGCTGATCAATTCAGCAGTCATTCAGCGTCTCCTCTGAGACCTCCCTGGGGGCCCAGCATGCACTGGACACCATGGAAGAGAGACGGGTATGAATTCATTCTTGCATTCAAACTGGGGAGTCAACGCCACATTTGAGCCACAGGGCACGAGCTCCCCACTTTCCCACATGCCTTCACGGGGCCTTTCCACATGCTGGTCCTTCGGCCTGAAATATCTCCTCCCACTCACACTTCATCGGTCAGGAGTCTTCCCCAACCTGAAGGCCCAAAACGTGATACTGTGTTCCGTATCAGGCTTCTAAGTGTTCAAACTAAATAATAATGGTAGTAGTAATTATCATTACTATTATAAAACTCACCAGAGTGGACCATGTATATTGTGCCAGGCATTGCACTAAGTACTTTAGATCATTTATTCCTTCAAACGGCCCGTGAAACAGATATTTCACCCCAGTTCAGTAGAAAAGGAAACTGAGGGTCAGAGAGGTCAAGATCACATAACTAGCAAGAGGTGAAGCTGGGATCAGAGCCCAGCGTGGAGCCCCTCGCCCTGGCGTCTCCCATCAGGCTTGATCCGGTCTTCTCCGCTCTTCCATAGCACCTGCTTCTCTTCCTCCCTCAGTTCTCCCTGACATCAAGGCTCGGATGTTTGACAGACTTATGGAGCCCTTGAAGGAAGGTGCCATGTCTGGCTCACGGCTCTCTCTCCTACAGTGTCGAGTACTGTGTCTCCTACAGTGACACAGTCTCCTACAGTGTCGAGTACTGTGTCTGGGGTACGTGAGGTGATGGAAAAGGGGATATGAGCAGAACTGGGGAGCACTGGACCAGGGATGGACAAGCAAAGGTAGTCATTCCTATCATGTTAGTGACCTGCGACTTTGTACTGTAGGTTGGGAGATGACCCGAGTCAATACAATTTCTCCCTTGAAATTTTGGGGTTAGGGGAACTGAGGTAGGTGGTCATGTGAAGGAAACAGCTACCTGGTGAGCTGTGTGTAGGAGGCAGCCCTGGAGAGGAAGCAGAGGAAGCAGCTGGGAGAGGGGAAGGGGGCAGAGCTAAGCAAGTGGAAAGACAGTGAGGGACAGAGAGAAATCTGCCACAGTTCAAGGCCCATTGCTGGAATCCCTGGCCCCTTTCAATGTATCATGCTCCACACACACACACACACACACACACACACACACTCAATCTACTTGAGTTGTCTTGTATGGGTTCTGTTATAAGGACATTTAGAAGGAACCTAAATTACATGTTGACCCTTGGCACAGGGTGCTGGGAGAGGAGATGGTGGGCTTTGAGAGAGGGAAGGGCAGCCGGCCGGGGTACAGGATGAAGGGAATTGGACTTGGAGGACACTGGGTTGTAAACGTGACTGTGCACTGGAGTCTCATGGGGAGTTCTGCGGTGCCGATGCCTGGGTCCTGCCCCCAGAGACTGTGGTTAGCTGATGTGAATGCTGGTCTGGGCATTCAGAGTTTTAACAGCTACCCAGGTGGTTCTAAAATGTGAGAAGTTTTCGCGGTAAACACTGCTTTACCGTGTAGGGTGGGTGAGGGTGTCCAATTCGGAATAATTTTACTTATTCTAAGAACAAGAGATGATGAGAGTGATGACTTGAAGTCCTTGAGTATAGAGTGACTTTCCTCAACCAACCCCAGGTTCTAGGTCAACGATTAAAGAAGTTGTGTTTAGTTAGGCTCCAGGCAACGAGCAGATGCCAATGTGCATGGCTATTGGCGAGTTTAAATGCTGCGTATTTACAGATATGAGAATTTGTTGACAAATCCTGTCCCTTCTCCTTTCTTAATTGTTTGTTTAGAGACCGACAAAGGATTATATCAGTTAGCATTGAAGATTTTATCTTAACTGGGTGCAAACAAAGGTCTATCAGCTGAAAATTCTAGTAGCTGAGCGATGAATGACCTTGGGGCTGGCCCTGAGCCCACGGCCTGTAACGGGTCGGTCGCACAGCGTCTTCTTGCAGGAAGCTGATCTTATTCTGTAGCCAGCTTCCCTCACTGAGGTCAGAGGCTGGACCACTATGTTTAGCTTTGGGGTCCAGGTTTCTGGTGGGGCTCTACCTTCATGATTTCATCTACAAGCCTAATTCCCTCCCCATCCCAAATGCCATCACACTGGGAGTTAGGGCTTCAACATATAAATTTGGGGGGATATAAACATTTAGTCCGTAGCAGATGCATTTCCCAGTTGAATTCCAAATATGTTTTCTTCTCAGGTAGATTCATCTAGTATGGCCTTGCCAATGATTAACATACCAGTCACCAGTCACTGTCCCAGGTTCCCTAAGTGGCCTCACTCCTGCCCCACCTCATCTCTCCTCTTCCCTTCACCTCCCAACCTTCTCCAGAATCCAGCAGGACCCTGCTCTGCTGTGCTATATGTCTGTTCTCATTGGCAAATGCTTGTGCCAGACCAAACAGAGTGACTGTCAGTCCTGGGCATGGCAAAGGAGAGACACTTGTTCACTACAAGGCTGGGGTAAAAACAGGGAGGGAGGAAGGCTATAAAGCGAAACTCAGACATTTGGTGTGTGTGACGTATACACCAAAGGACATACCTTCCGAGGTGTGAGGGCTGCTTCTTAGAGACCTGGGTCCTGCAGGCCTGGCTGTGGAGGAGGAAGAGAGAACGATGTAGTTTCCTAGCAAAAATGTATTTCTTGTCCTCACCTGACTCTTTAGGAATCTTCCCCATGCGGCCAGGGGAGAAAGGATGTCCCAGCCCCGCTTGATCACCGGGACGCAGGTGGGGAGCCACTGCCGGGGCGGTCAAGGGACTTGGCGTGCTCCCCCTCCCCCATCAGAGGCCAGCGGTGCAGGGCCGGGGCGGGGGGTGTCTTCCTTCAAGCCCTGCAGGTGCCAGCCCGCTCTGCACAGGCTGGCCTCCTCCGGTCGGTCTGCTCCGGCACACCCGGCCTAGAGCAGTGCACGTTAGCGCCTGCCCCTCTTCCTCTGGGGCCGGGGAAGGTCAAGTCCCGCAGCCATGTCCAACCGGTCAGTTCATGGTGGCACTGAATAGGGTAACAATTTTTATGTGTATCTGTGCCATCGACCGACATTACTGCCCCCAACTGAACACTCAACGGAGGACAGACGCCGCGACTGGCCTGGTCCCCGCTGGAGCCCCCAGCGCTCAGCATGGGCACAGGGTGGCACTCAACACATGAGTACTGAATGAAGGCGGGGAGACAGACGGGGCTGGGGCTTGCGGGGGTGGTGACTGCTCTCCATGCCAGGCAGTGTGGCCCGCCGGCCAGTGGGGGACCTGCGTTTCCCTCTGCCCTGAGGCTGGGGGCTCTCCTTGCTTCCCTGCTGCACGGTGTGCCTGAGTCCCATGAGTCTTGGACTCTGCCCAGCGCGTGGCCCAGGGGAGGGTGCACTGTGCGGTCTAATTAATGTATCTGTTAGGGTGCATTAGGGTGGTGTGGCCTTCAAGCTGTGGCCAATTGTCAGCTGCTCCCCTTAATCTCCCTGCGACTTCTTTTGCCCTCTTGGATGCCTCAGCCCTCATCTATGATCCTCCCCCTAATTTGGGGGTGGGCCCTCTGTGCTTTGGTTCCAAGCATTCCCTCCCCCTGGTGTACCCTCCCTCCTCCTCCTGTGGAACCCAGGACCTCTCATACCTGCCTCTTCCCCCAAGAAACTCGCTTTGGCTAGCCCGCCCACGGGCACCCCGCTGGGATGGGACCCACTCCACCTCTGGTGGATTTCCACACTGCTCTGTGCCCTGCCCTCCGAGGGGGCGGCGCAGCACTGGGTGGTCCCTGGTTCCCATCTGATTCTTGAGGCCTCGAGCAAGGGAGTGCCTGTGCTGAAGGCCTCCAGCCAAACCCTGGCCTTGCATCCTACTGAGATTCCCTCCCTCCCTAGGAGACCAAGTCAGGCACCAGAGATAAAGTATAGCCCTCTGGGGGAAATTCATTGCTCTTTCTCTGGTATCCTTTCTGCCCTGGGCATTTACAGAGCTAACCACCGTTGTCACTGTCAGGAGATGAGTCAATTGCACACCCACCTGTATTGTTTCATGAGACTCAGGTGAAGAGGGGCGGTCGGTCACCATCCTGTCTCCCCTCCCCCTTGCAGAGCCCTTTCAATTGTGTAGGTAGTTAATCTGGAAAACTTCAGAATTCCCAGGATTGTTATTGTCACTGGATAGAAGGATGGAGATTTCCAGCTGGAATAGGGCGGCTTAGATCATTCTCGTCGCTTTTCTATGTAGAGAAAAGTTCTGACAGTCGAGGAGTTGTCATTGTTTAGCCTTACACATCATCAACCTTCTCTAGGTGTCCCTCCGAGGAGGAGGGTCAGCAGCCTGCCGGGTCTTGAGGCTGGGCAAGCCGGGCAGTCTCTGTGTCAGAGCTGGGCTAAGCACTGAACACATCCTGGGAATCACCACTCCTTAGTGTATACGGTTCTAGAACTTCAAAATCTTTCAAGTTAGCAAAGGCCATGCATTTCACGTGATGGCCATTTCCATTCTCAAAGTGGATCTGCCTCCGATTTTCCAGATAGTGAAACCGAGTCTGAGTCCTTTGCCCTGGCATCACTCCTCCCTCCTTCCTCCTCCAGAGGCAAGTTTACTCATCCCGGTGGTGGTTTCCTTCTCCTCTTCCGAGTTGGGCTGAAAGCAGCAGGTCCAGGGATTGGCCCAGGGGATCACCTCAGCTGTCCTGGCTGAGTCACAGCTGGGTGACTGCTTGGTTGCAGACAGCACAGCAAGGGCCCTCCCAGGGGGACTCCAGCCAGGGCAGGATCAGCAGGGCAAAGGGCTTTCGTGAATCCAGCTCAGTTTATACTGAAACGTGATCTAGTGTCTTCTCCTCGTTGCTTGTTGGAAACAAATTCTCCCTGCAGAGTCTGGACTTGTTTAGATGCAGTGGAAATAATGCGGATAGCAGAGAAACATAACAGATGACCCTTAACTTCTACCTAGAGCCAGCCGGCTTCTTCAACGAGCACCAGAAGCCTTCCCCTTCCCGACATGTCTGGGTCGGCTGGAAAAAATCCCAGTCTTAGAGTGGCCAGAACTGCACTCGTATTTCTTTCCAAGCCCGCATCTTCCGTCTTCCTTCTGCATCTCAGTAAAGAGCACTAAGGTAGGCGAGGAAGGAGGGGGCGGGCTGCCCCTGCACTTCCTGCGAGGGAGGCTCTGCCGCCTGGGGCCGGGCGGGCCCTGAAAGCAGCCGAGCGCCTCGAGTCTCGTGAGGCCCCTTGCGCCACCCCGCTCGCCCCGCCCCCGGGGGCCGGGCCGCGCAGACCGGGAGCGCGAGGCGGGCTGGGTGTTTGCATACAAAGGCGGCCAAGCGTGCGGCGCCGCAAGGTGAGTACCAACCTCCCCGCCGCCAGCCTCCCGTGTCGAGTCTCCGTGGAGCCCCGGCCAAACCCCGGCAGCCGCCGAGGTAGGGGCCACAGCCTCTGCGGGGCCGCGCTGGGCGGGGCGGGGCACCGCCCGGGGTCGGGGGGCGCGGTCGGGCCGCTGCCGGCCGGGGGATGCGGGACGACGTGATGCCCGGGCACCACACTCTGTCCCCGCGGCCCTTTCGGGGCAAGTGTTTCAGGGAGGGAGGCGGAGAACAGGCCCAGGGACCCGGCGGCCTCGTGAGCTTCCCTCGGGCCTTCTCCCAAAGGGCTGACCTTGATCGGCGTGGCGAACTCTAGGGTGGCCGCGGGACTCCGTCCTGGCAGGACGTGTGGGTAGTACTTGGGCAGCAAGCAGCCCTTGCTTAGCGCCGGGGACTTTTATGAAACTGGTCGGGGAGGTGGGGGTGGGTTATTTGGGATTCCTGCTTTGCTGTTGAGGAAACAGGCTCGGGGAGGTTGACTTACGTGCCCAAGGTCACACAGCTGCCGGGCGGCAGGCTGAGCCCGGGTTGGAATCCTGGTTCTCGGATTACATACAGTCTGATCCCTCCTCTGCCAGCTTCTGTGCACCTTTCCTGCAGCCTGCTGGATGCTAGGCCTTCCATCAGATGCCCCTGCGAATAATTTTATTTTGGGGAAGGTGGGGAAAACGTAGGATGAAAAGTAGTGTTTTGGAAATACCTTGAAGTGCCGTGGAGCAGGGGTGTGTATAGATGACCGGCTGGTCATTTGCGTGGAGGGTAGTGGCTGGAGAACGCAGATGTCAACCCGGTTTTGACCAACAAACAGGAACTTGACTAAAACAACTGGCCGTGTTAATTCAAAGAATTTTTAGAGCCCAGTAGTTTCGAGGAGTTTTTTGGAGACATGAGCTTATCAACTGTTTTTATGGGAGGGGGCGGGTAATGGGGGCGTGCTTGTGAAATTTACTGTTTGTCCCTGTTCTATAATTTGGGTCTTATGAATTAAAGTAAGCAACTGCGGAAAGTACGGCAACTGAGAAGTTAACACACACGTACGCGTCTTCCCCCCAGAAATGGTGGAAATCTCAGTTTGTCTTCCGGTTCTGTATTTTGATAATGCTTCATTCACATCTGCCGACATCTGTTTTATTATCGAGTGTTTTTGTGTATGGGTGTGTGGTTGGAGCTTTTATGCTTGTTTGTGTGGAGGGCTGTATGGTGTGGAGCCATGCCTGGACAGAGCCCTGGACCTGAACTTAGTGGGCCTGGAGGCCTGGGCTCTCGTCTGGGTTCTGCGTTAGCTTGGCAGTGGGGCCCTGCCCAGCTGCCTTCACCATCCCGGGTCTCAGTTGCCCAAAATCTCAGCACTCTGGGAAAGAATGGCTGCAGAGGACAAACCTGCTGAGTCTTGTTGCAAGGGAGAGAACTTGGGCACTTGGGTGGGGCACCGACGGATCTCCTGGTCTTGAGGGGACCTCGGAAAGGCTGGGAAGTCTGCCCTGGGAGGGGGTAGTGTGGCCAGCCTGGCCAGAAGGAAGTCTGTAAGCCTGCCCTCAACCCAGTCAGCTGTGTTCAGGGCCCTGGACCAGAGGGCGGGGTGGAGGGCAGGAGATGGAGAGAGATTTCAAAGGAAGGGCCTGAGGCCTATGGCGCACACAGGCTGGTGCAAAGAACTTGGCTTTGTAGTTTTACCCACTTGTAACTTGGGCCAAAGACACATTCTCTTGAGTGTGTCTTGAGTGTTTCTTCTCCTAGGCAATGAAGAGAGAATCACACCCATTTGCAAGTTATGGTAAACGTGTTCACTGAGATACACAAGAGCCCCTGGGAAAGAATGCGGGGTCCCTGTGGTCACTGTTATTTTAAGGGAGGAGCGCAAGGTGCCAGTGAGGAGGGCTAATTGTAGAGTTGGGACAGTCCTGCCTAACTCTGGCCTCGGGGCTGTGAGTCAGCGCTGTGGGTCCCCCTCTCACACTGTGAGTTGGCCTCCCCTGGGTCCTTTCTCTTCTGGGTTCAAGGTCTAAAAGGTACCTAAATGTGATGAATTGATTTGGGCAGGGGTGCCGATGGGGATGGATGACACTGCAGGCAGCTCATTCCAGGGAAGGCCTGTTGACGGGAATGGCCTTTGGAGCATTTTGAAAAAGACCTAGGAGACAGTGGTCCAGTTGGGACACTGAGGCTGGTGGTTTGACCTGTTTGCACTTCAACTTCCTCAGCGTGACTGAGCCATGAGAACCGGGGGCTGTTGAGGTGACAAGGAACATGTGAGGCCTCAATGTCCGGTCAGCACTGGGGCGAGTGTCCTGGGGAGGGCGGGCAAAGTCCCACTTCTTAGGTTTCACTGAACCCCGGCCGGGTTTATTACTCCCGAAGCCCACTCACTTAGAATCGGGGTGGGATTTGTGAAAAGAAGTCGAGCAAAGTCCGAGCAAAGCCCATCAGCGGGAGCTTTCTAAGCTGTGAGCAGAGGGTCTAGAAAGAGCAGGGGCCTGACACCTGCTTTCATTCCTGGCAGCAGGTCCAGCTCGGGGGATGCAATGTGCCGGGCTCGGGAGACCCTCCTGACAGTGGGGGGGGGGGGGCTGTCAGGGAGACTGTGACCTGCCCCCCTGTCCTGTGTCCTCCACACTTCCCTGTGTGCCCCTTCTCCTTCCTCTTCCCATGTCTCCCCCCTGACCCCGCCCCACCTTTTATTTAAGCAACAAGAAGTGAATACTGGCACAGGCCAGTATTCTTCACAGTGCTGCCTGTCACCCTCTGGTCCTAAAATCAGTTTAGTAGGCCCATGGGCGTTTTAGAAAAGGTGAAATAGAGTAGAAGAGAAAATCCCAGACCCGGACATACTAATCTTAGGTTAGGTATTGTTTTGTGAAACTTGTTTAGCTGAGATGGCGTGTGTGTGTGCCCGTGTGCCCCCACGTGCAAACTCTGGTGGAGGGAAGCGGGGTGTGTGAGACCCAGTGCCTGGTGTGCGGGGAGGGGCCTGCGTGTGTCAGGTGTTGGGCGAAGGGACAGGGCTCCGTCTGGAGAGGATGCTTTTCCGCGCCGGGAAACCACATCTCTCAACACACTGAGCAGGTTTGGGATTCTTGCGACAACCTTTTTTCCTGCTGCTGAATGCTGGGCTTTCGAGTAAAGAGCTACAGGTTGTTAGAGCAGAGTCATGACTCTGCATCGACTGCCTGCCGACCACAGACCCTGCATTCGAGACACCCTGTGTGCCCAGTGCTCCTGGGACACCATCAGCACACTTCCACCACGTGCCTCTTTCCCGGAAGGCCCGTTATCTCCTTGGACACATGTCTTCTCTCTTTTTGGTGAAATCTTCCTCTGCATTGATTGGTCTCTCTAGGCATCCACCTTTGGTTTACAAAAGATAGAAGCAGCGAGGGTCGTGGGATAACCGGGCACCCACAAGGCAGCTCCCCGCTTTGGCCAGAGAATTTCCTGCCGGTGAACTCTAAATCACTCCAGCCTGTGGCCCAGTCTTCGGGTTGCCTTTGGGCTCAGATTTTTGGATAAAATGGAAATGTATTCCCAGCCTATTGGAATCTAACCATACCCTTCTGATATTTCTGTATTAATTTCAACCAGTAGTATTCTTTGGCCCTGTCTTTTTGGGAGGGTGCGATCTAAATAGTTGACGTATGCAAAGCGCTGTCAGGCTGCAGCCTTAACTCACAGTCCGGCCTTTGGTGCCGTGTGTGACCAGAGGGTTAGCACCTGGCTTTCGTTTGGCCGTGCACTAGGAAAAGAACTCCACGTTTACCCATCCTATGAGGTGGGTGCTGTTAGGGTCGTCCGTTTTATAGATATGAGACTGGGCGGCCGAGGGGTCGGTCAGTCGTTCATGGTCATGGCTTAGCAGGTGGTGGAGCTGGGAGGTGAAGGCCAGCTGTCTGCCTCTGCGGCTCAAGCTTTTACCCCTGAGCTGTAGGCAGCACTCTTGAGCGTCCAGGTGATATTTGGGTGGAGGGAGCAGGGTTCACGCAGAAGTCACAGAAGCAGGGCTTTCTTTTTGGTCAAGACACAGACCTGGACAGAGGGTCCTTGCTGGGGTGTAAAGAGAGGCTGCAAGCCCTGTGCTCCATTCGTGAGTTGCGGGGTCAAGAGCTGGGGGATCGGGGTCTAAACCTGGGCCTGTTTTTCCAGCACATTGGCCACCGGGGTAGTTCAGCTGCCTCCACCCTCCACCACCCAGGCCTTTTGTGTTCCTTGGCAAGGACCTGAGAACACTCATCACACGGGATTGTAAGATCGGAGCATTGTGCAATCCCAGCGCTGGAGGAGCGGTCACCCATCTGACCCTTCCGACCAAAGCAGGACCACCCCGCATCGCCCCCGCCTGTCTAGCAGTTTCAGTGCTGGGGAGACCCTGACACCGAGCAGACCAGAGTTTGCCATCCCTCCCCCAGTTCTCTGAGGTCATTAAAAATTAACGTTAAAGCAGTACATGCACATGTAGAAAACAAAACCCAGGAACCAACGCCTTGGAAATATTTGTGATGAAAAGTGAAGGTCTCCTCCCCTTCCCCAGGCCTGTTCCCTAGGGTGAGCCTGTGAACCTTGTTTGGTATGTACCTCAGTCCATAATTTTTTTGTGCATATGAGAATATGTATAAATGTAATTCTTAGAAATGGGTTCATATTATAAATATTTTTGTACTTTTTTCACACAGTATATATACCTTTTCATGTTAGTATTTGGAGAACTACCTCTCCCTCTCTTTTTTTTTTTAACAGCCTCATAATATTCAATTATATGGTGTGGGTGGTCCCTAATTTACTTAACTGAAGTCCTGTAGATATTTGTTTCTAATTTTCCTTATTATAATC